TCTAGATAATGTATTTTCTGTCAATTCAATGACCCCGAGACCCGAAACTGTAAATTAACATGCTTAATTCTGCTTCTGTAATCTGCTTTTTTGCGAGCCCAGGTGCCTCATTCCAAACCCTGGGATGTAATCAATACCTTTGTGATTTTTGCCTATATAAGTCTGGTTTTGCCACCATCTTATTACTATGAGATTTGGGAATGTCCCCTCATAGTCCCGGATTGCAATAAATATGACTCTTTAATTCGACTTCTTGAGGCGTCCTTCTGTGATTCGCGGGGTACATTACAACAAAAAACATGTTTCTTTCTTTGTTCATTTAAAAATATTAATTTAATAGAACTATATGTAAAAGTAAATGTGTAAATGAAAGTCTTCCAAGAACAATTAGTAACTTTACCAAATAATAACTTCCAAAGAAACACTCCCAAAACAGAACTTTTACTGAAAAGTAGATGTATACATTTTTGGATATATGTAACTGTTAAACTCACTTTACATACTATCAATATTTTCAAAATTACTCCTTTATTTTCTTCTTTACTTAAATTGACTCACAGAAACTCATTTTAACATCATTTTTATTTGTGCAATGAAGTATTAGGTTATAGAACTTTTGGAAATGAACTGGACACACTAATACAAAGAAATTTTTAAAGAAAGAATCATTTGTTGAAGAAAACATCTTTTATAAAACAGAAAATAAAAATATTTAATTAGGGAGAGATTCTGCTTATTCTAGTATCAGCTTCAAACAAAAAACTCTTCATATAGTCACATGGTAGTCATATAATTACTTTTTTCTTCTTGCAGAAATGTTTAAAGACAACTGAATTAACCTTTACTTAATATTCTTTCTAAAGTTTATAAATAACTAAGAGTTAAAAGATTTGTTTTTTATATTAACAATTCAACCATTTCTACAGTGCCAAAATAAATAAAAATGGATTACCTTGGCAATATTTCCATGCACATATATGGCTTGTTCTTGGAAGACTTTCATTTACACGTTTACTTTTATATATAGTTCTATTAAACTACTTCTACAAAACAGTATAGTATATAAAAAAGAAATTTCTATCAGAAAAAAATAAGAGATAAAAATTTGTTTGAAATACTAGCAGATTAACTCATAAGTACCAGCTATGTCTGTACTTGTAGGGAAAAAAGTCACAGTTGGAAACATTTCATTGAAAGTATGTGTGTGTTATGTGGAATTTAGCTAATTTCTTTACAAATAATACAAACACTGAAACAAAACTTTTAAAAAAATGTTGAGAGAAAACTAAAACACTTACCTGAAATTCTGGTACAGTAGGTAACTTTGTGACAGTTTTCCTCTTCTTTGTGATTGCTTTTTTAGATATGGATTTTTTTCCTTTCAAGATTAAAAGAGAAAAACTTCATAATGCTGTTAATATTACCCTTCACTAACAAAAATATTACATAGAACCTTGAACGTTAAATTATAACTAACAGATGGATTCCAGTGAGTCAAATAAAAATGAATCAAAACAAGTCCTAGTAACAGCAAACATTCAACTATAACTACCTATAACAGACACATAAACAAATACCATATTCTTTATATAAGAACCAAATTATTACAATCTCCAATGTGCTGCACAGTATCAGAATTTACTGTAATAAGTTTTATCAAAAGAGTCACATTACTACAACTCAGTTAAAATTTAATTCACAACTTAAAATGAGGTCACATAAGGAAAAAAAAATCTTACCTTTAACAATAACTTACGTAGTCAGGAACCTGCACAGAATTATACTCTGAAGACTATGGTCTACTTAGCCAACCCAATGTAAAAATCCTCTCAATAGCTCAGAAAACAAAGTTTTTCTATCCCTTTAGCTCTTCACTCATCTAATCTTTCCTCAAGTGCTGACTTTGGCAGTATTCAATGACCAGTTGTAAAGTAAAGTAAACATCTCTCTTTAAAGTGCACCTACCTAATCATTTGTGTAATCAAAAATCACCAGGAAATATAAATTTATATTCTTAAATAAAATTCATAGCATAGACTGAAGTATATCTGTGTATTTAACCTGACAAGAGACATAGTTCAGATCATGTTAAAAGTAAATGTTTTGTGCTCACTTCGGCAGCACATATACTAACATTGGAATGATACAGAGATTAGCGTGGCCCTTGCGCAAGGATGACACGCAAATTCATGAAGCATTCCATATTTTTTAAAAAAGAAGAAAAAAGTAAATATGTTTCCCCCCACTTGTAATTAACAAAATCAACTAATAATAAGTTGATTGTTAATTATCCAACAAGAGATATAGGGCACTATACAATTTATGGGAATAACAAAGAATTACAAAATGGAACCTGTCCTTCAGGAGCTTACAATCTATGTAATGGGATAAAAATTAACTGTAAATACTTAAAAGTTAATTTTAATTCTCATTTGTAGGGGAAAATTAAAAGTTACTGTTTTTTCAAAAGGAAAAATGAGTTTAAGTAAATAAAGTAACTTTGCTCTACATACACCCTATTGCTTCTTTTTAAACATTATCCTATGCAGATAAGATCTTGCATGAAAACAATTTAAAAAAATAAATTTATAGGGGTGACATTAATAGGATCATATAGATTTCAAGTGTACATTTTTACAATACATGACCTGTATATTGCACTGTGTGCCCATCAACCAAAGTCAAATCATCTTCCATCACCATATCTTTAGCCCCCTTTACTACCTGCCCCCAACCCCTCTTAACACTGGTAACAACCACAATGTTGTCTGTGCCTATGAGTTTCAGTTTTATATCCCACATGGGAGTGAAATCATATGGTTCTTAGCTTTTTCTGACTGATTCATTTCACTTAGCATAATAATCTCAAGGTCCATCCATGTTGTTGCAAATGAACATTATTCCATAGTATATATGTACATCTTCTTTATTCAATCCTCTATCAAAGGACACTATGGTTATCTCCTTATCTTGGCCTCCATGAATAATGCTGCAATAAACATAGGAGTATATATATCTTTCCAAATGAAATGTTTGAGTTTTTCAAGTAGATACCAGGAAGAGGGATTGCTGGGTCATACAGTAACCCTATTCTTAATTTTTTGAGGAACCACCATACTGTTTTCCATAGTGGCTGTACCAGATTATATTCCGACCAGCAATGAATAGGGTTCCTTTTTCTCCACAACCTCTCCAACTCTTATTACCTGTCTTGTTGATAAGAACCATTCTAACAGGTGTGAGGTGGTATCTCATTGTAGTTTTGATTTTCATTTCCCCAATAGCTAGTGAAGTTGAACATTTTTTCGTATCTGATGGCCATTTGTATGTCTTCTTGGAAGAGGTGGCTGTTCAGGTTCTCTGCCCGTTTTTTAATTGTTTGTCTGGTGTTGAGTTGTATGAGTTCTTTATATATATTTTGGATTTTAAAACTCCTTGTCTGAGCTGTTGTTTGCAAATATCATCTCCCATTCAGTTGACTACCTTTTTGTTTTACTGGTAAGTTTCTTTTGCTGTGAAGAAGCTTTTTAGTTTGATATAGTCCCATTCATTTATTTTTGCCTTTACTTCCCTTGCCTTTGGGGTCAAATTCATAAAATCTTCTCTAAGACCAAGGTCCGTAAGTTTAGTACCTATGTTTTCTTCTATGTAATTTATTGTTCCAGATCTTATATTTAGGCCTTTGATCCATTTTGAATTACTTTTTGTACATGGGGACAAACTGCTTCTGGTTTCATTCTTTTGCAGGTGGCTTTCCAATTTTCCTAGTGCCATTTTTTAAAAGGCTTTCTTTTCTGCATTGTGTATTTTTGGGTTATCAAAAATTATTTGCCCATATACATGTGGTTTTATTTCTGGGCTCTCAATCCTATTCCATTGGTCTATGTGTCTGTTTTTCTGCCAATACCATGGTGTTATGATTTTCATAGCTCTATAGTATAATTTGCAAGTCAGGTAGTGTGATATTTCTGGCTTCGTTCTTTTTTCTCAGGATTGCTTTGGCTATTTAGGGTCTTTTTGGTTCTGTACAAATCTGATGATTTTTTTTTTTAATGGCATTGGGATTTTGATGGGGAATTGCATTAAATCTTTGGGTAATATAGCCATTTAAACTTTGTTGATTTTTCCAATCCATGAACACAGAATATCTTTTCATTTCATTGTGTCTTTTTTAATCTTTAATAGTTTTGTAGTTTTCGGTATATAGGTCCTTCACATCCTTTAAGTTTATTCCTAGGTATTTTATTCTTTTGGTTGCAATTGCAAACGAAATTGGTGTTTTTTTCCCCCATTTATTTTTCTGAAGTTTCAGTGCTAGTATATAGTAAAACAGTGGATTTTTGTACATTGATTTTGTATCCTGCAACTTTACTATATTTGTTTATTGTTTCAAATATTTTTGGTGGTCTTTAGGGTTTTCTATATACAGAATCATGTCATCTGCAAAAAGTGACACTTTTACTTCTATTTATTTCACTTGCCTGACTGCTCTGGCTAGGACTTCTAGAATTATGCTGAATAATAGTGGTGAGAATGGACATCCTTTTCTTGTTCCTGACTTTAGAGAAAAAGCTTTCAGTTTTTCACCATTGAATATGATATTGGCTGAGGAAAACATTGACAATGACTTTAAATAAATAACACAATTTACCAAAGAGCTTCACAACGTGACCTAGGAGTGGTAATAAGCAAACATGATGATTTATATAAATTATCTCGTTAATTCTTAAAAACACACACACACACACACACAGACACACACACACACCCTCCAAGGTAGGCAATTCCTCATTTTAATGTGAGCTAACTGAAGGGGGAAAAGATTACTTACTCAAGTGTTACACTGTAAGTAAGCACCGCAGCTAGGGATTCTACCGCCAAAGTCCAAGGTCCATTATGCAATGCTAACCTCTCAAAAATCACAGTTACCATTTATTGATTCTTACAACCTGCCAAGCACCATGTTAGGTCCTATGCTTTGCTATTCAAATTAATCTGTGTAATGCTACAGCAAGGTAGGTATTACCTCATTTTTTAAAACATAAGCAAACTACCTATAAACAGGCAAATAAATGGATGGAGGACTTATAGCTAACGTGCACTGGAGCATGTATCTGTACTAGACCTGTCTCACATCAAAGCTGTGCTCTTTCCTTTTTTAAAGCACGTTATTTATTTTTGAGGGAGGGAGGGAGGGAGGGAGGGAGGAAGAGAGAGAGAGATTTGTTGTTCCACTTATTTATGCCTTCATGGGTTGATTCTTGTATGTGCCCTAACTGGGGATTGAACCTGCAACCTTTGGATATTGGGACGATGCTCTAACCAACTGAGCACCCAGCCAGGGTAAAGCTGTGCTCTTTTTAATGATAAAATACTGTATTCTTTCTAACTTTCTCAGCAATATAATATGCTTTTGACATATTTCTGAGCATTCCTTTACACTAGGGGAAGATTCACATATTCACTATTACATAATACTCATCAAAACAATCTGAACAAAAAATTTCCTGTATCTTTAATAAAAATTAGTTCTTCCTTTTAATTAATACTTACTTTTAAAATAGAGCATTGTGTACTATAAAACCTCACAGTTTTATTTCTAGTTTAGTTTATTCCTAATCTGTTTTTGTTTCAGGGCATGATATATACAGGGCAAGTTACATATTGCCTCTCAGTGGGCTTCCACTGCCCTAAGTCACCTGTTACCACAAAATAGAATGTAATTCTCAGATCTAGGACTGTGCTGAAGCCAGGAACAGTTAAAAAACACACAAAAATGCCCTAGCCGAGTGCTCAGTGGTTAGAGCATCAGCCTGCGTACTGAAGAGTCCTGGATTTGATTCCAGTCAAGGGCACATGCCTGGGTTGCAGGCTCCATGCCCAGTGGGGGCATGCAGGAGGCAGCGGATCAATGATTCTCTCTCATCATTGATGTTTCTATCTCTCCCTCTTCCTTCCTCTCTGAAATCAGTAAAAATATATTAAGAAAAAATAAAGAAGCATTTAAAAAAACACACACAGACGCAATTTCAACTTTAATTCTTGGGCTTAAAACACAGACATGGGCAAAAAGTTGAATCTCAACTTGTACCAAGAAAATGAATAAAAACCTTAATATAGTCTAGTAATTAATGTTACAAGTGCAGCCTAATGAAGGTTTTTAAAACTATGCTTAGAACAGCTCAAGAAAAGAAAGCCCAGCTTGAGAGGAAAATGTAACTAAAAATCTATTTTACACTATAAATATAGGCGCAAAACTCTAGTCTTCTAGGATATGCAGAGACACTTACTAGAAAAATGAAGATGATTATCATCCCTACTCCAACTCCTCTTTCCTCGGTCTCTCATGACTCATCTTTATCCCTCTCCTTCACTTGGCTGCCCTGTCTGTCTTTACCCCTTGGCCTTCCACTTCCACTCCAATGCCCTCCTAGATTTGGCCTTCCCATGTATAAGAATTCTCCCAACACATTCACTACTCTTAGTGTTTTCATTTTAGGAACCATAAGTGAACGGACAATAAGACTTTTATCACTGTTAAAAGGGCATTTTTATTATTAAATACCAAATCTGGGAAGTACTTAGAATGTGAGGCCACAACTGGATTCTAAACTTGACCTTTATTTACTAAAAGTGCATGTTTTGAACGAATATTTATATTCTACAGAAATTTCTGGAATGTTCTCTAAGTAAGCAATTTGGCCTTAACAAAACAGCTGATTTCCTCCTATTCTCTTGAGCAAATTTTTCATCATACTGGTCATTTTTTAACCCTATCATATAATTCAATAACAGCTGAACGCCTATTTCTTTTTTTCTCCTTTAATTTAGAATACTGAGTCAGTTGTCAAATTCTCCTTCTTATTGCAATATATTTCTCAAAATGTTTTTTCTTTCCTGCCAATGTGATAGAAAAGTCATGTAATCATTCCTTATCTGGATTTAGAATTTCCTCTTTCTGAAGTTACCGCCTACCCCACTCCTTCATCTAAATCTTGTCAGTTTCTTTTTATAGCTATTTAATGATGTCCTAATTACCTTGCAAGATCCTTTCTCCTAATCCTGCCACTTACTAGCTGTGTTACCTTGGACACAGGAATAAACTTCTCTGTGCTTGAGTTTTTTTATTCTATAAAATCTATATAATAGGAAATAACAATAGTATCTACTTCATGGAGTTTTTATGAAGGTTCAATGAGACAATTTGTA